CAGCTTTTGTGGCAGTGGAGCAGAATCCTGGGAATGGTAAGGGAAATCTCAGAAGGTATTTGTGAGACACCTAGGAGATGCATGTAGGGATGGGGAGGGAGTCTGGGAGAAGTCAGCAGGGTGTCATGGATCTGTAGCAGACCTGGCAAGGTGGGGGAGGCTGTACTCAGTTTCTTTCCCTCCTCTCAACCCGTTCCCATCTTTTCCTCCCCAGGGGTGGATCCTCATGTTCTTGGGAGTCTGCAACTTTTGTCCAAAGTCCACGACTGTCTCCTTCCCACTTTATAGCTGTCTTCCTCTATCAAGTCAATTTTACCTAGAAAAAACCCTCCTTGTGGCTTTGTTGTGGCCTCTAATTATTCTCTGCTGAAAAGAAAACAATGTTGGTGTGTCTTCTGTTACAGAACAAAGAGGGGGCAGAAGGTGGGTGAGGACTATTTAGGCCAGAACAGCAGGTTCTGTCTCCCAAGTCATAGGCAAAGTCCCTTACAGTCTTCAGCTGCCTCTAGTGAGCTGATGTCATTCAAGTAGTCACACTGATGTCAGAAGCTCGCAGTTCAATGTTCATTATCTTCCTATGTAGTTGTCAGAGATGTATCTTTTGTCAGGTAAAGCAAAATCAGCAAGTGTTATGAAGAAAACATGATTGGTAGAAGTAGCAGAACTAACCTAATACAAGAATACTTGCCCATGTTATACCCATCATCAAGCAGCACTTTAGAATAGACCACCAACCAGTAAAGATCAGCCAAACTGAATGGTGCTCTCTACCTCATAAAACTCATCTACCTCAATTTGAAGGGCAGAAGCAGAGCCCTACCTTCAGAGACATCTGGGACCAAGCTTGTGTAGCTGGAACCAGCACAATTAATGTTACTCCTGATTACTGACAACCACGGGTCCTGTCAGCAAGGAAAGGGGAAGTAGAGATAGCCACTCTTCTGTAACTTTGTAGTGTCCTTTGCATTATTAATCACCCTTTAACAGAGGTGATGAATAGCCACACTCCTTCCCACATATCCAATTATTGCATAATAATTAATGTTTGCATTTAGCCCGTCCTGACCCAAACCACAAGATGCCGAAGTCTCTCGTGTCAGTTCAAGGCTGCCTTGTAGGTTTCTAAACTGGGACCAATTAATGGTAGGTAATTCCTGCACGCTCTCTCCAAGCTCCTCTCCCAGTTTCTACTCTTCCCTTTTTAAGTCTGGTTCCTAGTGCAGTGCTGGTCAGGCAGGCGTGGCTATTGAATACATCAGGATCATAGCTCAGTGGAAAGAGACCTGATAGGCACACTAGCCTCTTTAGTGTCAACACCTTTAAGTGTATATAGAGGCTACATTTATGCAGCTTTGCATCTAGTTTAGATGAGCAACATTTAGTTCCTAAGTGAATGTACATGGATGGAATAAGACATTTTTCTCTTCATTCCAGATCTGTTTTCTATCCAAACTAAAATCTTGGCCAGTTGACCTATCCACCTCATTGATAATTTCCTCTGTCTCCTAGCATAAATAAGCCACAGCTGTATGTGTTTCTTGCAAGTTATCCTGACTTAGATGACTAATCAGCTCTTCATTCATGTATTACCTTTGGTCTTCTCAGGGTCCTAATATCCATGCAGTGTATAAAACTGGATGGTTCTTCCCCTCAGTTATCCCTAAAATAGTTCAGTCTTCTTGAAAAATTGAAACTTATCTGGACTTGTCTCATCCCATAGCTTTATTAATGAAAGATTGGTTTCAGGCGTTGGAGAAGCTCTTTGTTCTCTCTCCTGGTTTTCGAGGAAGCTGGTTCCTATCTTTGCTCAGATAATTCTTCCATAATATTTTATTTATCTGAGTTTCATGCTTCAGAATTCTTTCTTCCTCACTAGTCTTGAAGTCTGAATTGTCCTTTACTAACATGCAAGGCAGGCCATTTTAATCTTATCCTTCTTTCAGTCACTCTCCAAAACTGTCTGTCAGGATAGGCTTGTCATGGCCGGAGTTTAGTTGCAGAGATTCTGGGATTTACACTCACTATAGTAGCCACACTTCTCTGCATTACCTCTCTTTTTCCTAATAATTAAATTGCAAAATCTCTGTGATCAAGAACATTGTCATATTGCTTTGTATTTAGAGTAATTTCTATTATGATTGGCTTATCATTCATGACTGGAATTCCTAGGTGTTACAGAAATACAGATTTTTTTTTATTTTATTCATGTATTCATTTAAAAATACCATGTGGTTTTAGGGATTACTTTAGGAGATTTTAGTGCAATATTCCTGAGAGGAAATGTAAAATGTCAGTGGTTCGGGATTCTATCCACCAAATTGTTTCTCCATTGCTCAAATTGCCATGGAATTCTTCTTGTTTGTAAAACCAATATTCTACACTTTTAGTGTTTATGTGGACCCACACTACAAGATCATAGACTGGATCAACCTTCACTGCAAGAATGCTGTGATATTAGGACAGAGCAGTTTCAAAACCTCAGCAACTGTGTATTCTTTTAGATACTTAAAGTAATAGATTTTCTAAGCTGTATAATCTCACCAGATTCTTAAAGGACACCATCTGTCTGTACCACTACAAAAGTCCAAGTTGGCCCTCCCCCTCCCAAAAAATGCAAAATGTTTTTGAATCATAACTGTTGAATGTATTTTCACAATTTAAGAAATTTAACTAAATATTTGAAGATGAAAGAGCATTAACAAAACCGAGAAAGCAGAGTATGGGAATTTTCATCCCTAGACCTGATAGGAATGTGGAATTTGAGCAATGTTTGTCCTTTATTCCCTCAGCTCAGGAACACCATTCTTCTTGCACTAGGGACAAAAACATCTCTGGATGTAACATGGGAATAACAAGGCAGGATACAGAAATTAAATATTTATTTCTGACCAAGTCCCACTCCATTTAGTGCTTTCCCAAATTAAGAACATTACTAGCAGTAGATCTGATGAGCTCTCTCATGAACCTTCTTTCTACTGAACTATGTCTTTCTAGTATCCTGCAAGCCCAAAGGACACAGCCCAACTGTAGGCAGCCAAGCTGCATCAGGGCCTTATACTGACAACCCTAAAAGATGAGAAGAGCTCAGTGTGTAGAGGAATCTGAGGCTCCATTAAAACCTTATTGCGTGTTACTGCACATTTAAGATGATCTACAACACTCCATTTGGCTGAGGTATGCTACAGCCCACACATATATGGGCTTGTTTTGCCAATGAAAACCCCTTATATTCTTGTGTACTCCCATTATTGTCCATCAAAGAAGTTTTGTTAGTATACTCAAAAGTGTTCCCTCTCTGCAAGCATCACTCGCACTTCTATTTATATAATTTAGAAGTATAAATGTTTGCATATGTGATTTAAAGGAAAGGTGTATATATACATATATATACACCTATAAGAAGAAGAAATGAGAGATGAAGCAATATTTACAGATAGTCCTAATGCAGAACCCCTTTGTAGGCAGGTGGGAAGAGTAGTGTTTCTTTTCATAACTGAAATCACAGAAACATTTACAAAGTAGAACAAGACTTTTGTTTGAATGCCTATTCTCTGTATCCACACAACCCCTGAAAGCTCTGCAAAGGTGAATTTCAGTTCTCATTCTGGATTTCAGGAAGATGCTGAGAAAAAAAAGTCCCACTCAAAATGTCTCATCTGATCTTGCTGGAACTGGTAGTTGAATGGGCAGAGTTCCCACTTGTCTCAGCTCTTCAATAAATGTATTTCTTTTGTACCCATGATGGCACAAGGAGCCATTCTCTATGTCATGTTGCTGGTGAGAGAGGCTTCCCACACTCTCAGAGATTGTAACTCCATCTCCTTTCTCAACGGTATCATTAAATCTTACACTGGCGTGGGTTTTTGTGGAAATCCCTCATGCACATAAATGAGTGAAATGATAATGATAGCAAACTGCCTCAGGCTCAAGTATCAGGATGCAGTTTCACAATTAGCCTAGGCTGGTCTCAGTCCATTTTGCTGTATCCTTCCCTTATGCCCCACACCTGCCAACAGCAGAAGTGGTCCTACAGTTACACACAGACAGATCAGCCGCCCTATTTGGCAAAACCAGCTGATTTGGAGAGGGGATAGTGTTTGTTTTCTGCTTAGGCAGGTCCCTTCCTTGACTATATAGCCCCATGAAAGCCAGTACCAATACACAGCAAGGGGGCAGGGGCAGGACATAAGGTTGTCCGTGTCTTTAGCAGAAACGCAGATAACTTGTTAAAATCTCTCACTAAAAAAACCTCTTAGAACAGATTGATAAAACTGAATTGTGGAAATTGCCAGGACTTGACAGTATCTATTCTTGAATTCCAGCATAGCTGAAATATGAAATTGCTGTGTTGCTTTTTGTGGTGTGCCACTTGAATTGGCTTGGGTAACAGAAGAATTGAAGATGGAGGCTTTGGGATATTTTTGGTAAACATAAGCCAGTATGGCTGATTTACATACCAAGAAAATAAACTAAAACTGTAACCAAAACTGGAACTAGCATTGCAGTAAGTGGCTAGAATAAGAAGAGTCAATATAGCTTTATGAGACAGAAGTTATACTTCAAAAATCTATTAGAGTCCTTTATGATGAGTGTATGAAAGCAAACAAGGAGCTGAGAGGGGTACAGTTTGGTTTTCAAAACACTTTTGACCAGGCCCCTCAGTAAAGGCTCATAAAAAATTAAGTTTCTGATGAAGGAAGAGACAAAATCTGTGGGTTAGTAATTGTTTAAAAGCTATGCAGCAGTGGCTAAAAATACAACTGTTTTCACAACAAAGATTTGTTACAATTTCACTATTATTGGTCTTTTATTACTAAGTGATGCTGAAAAGGTGAAGAATATGATACAGTGATGAGGCTTACTGATGACACTAAGTTCTTTGGGATACTAAAATCAAAAGCCAGCTGTAAAGTATTGCAGAAGGACACTACAAATTGCTGAATGAGAAAAAAGCTAGCAAAATTAGGTTAACTTAAACAAATCCTAACTTTTCCATGCAGGCTAATGTTTTCTGAACATCACTACCATTCAAGAAAGAGGCCATGGAATCATTTTGACCAGTTTGATTAAAATAGTCACAGTTCAAAGGTAAACCACAAGGAAGGAAACTGAGATTACACAGGAAAACACTGGTATAGCACTCTACTTTTCTCTATCTTGTATTTTTCTAGGTTACAAGGAGGAGCAAGAGGAATGATCAAAGTTGTGAAACCTTTCCATCTGAGGAGATACTAAATGAAAAGTAAACAGACCAAGATGTTTCTATTTGGAGAAAGGGTATGTGAGAGGATACTATGGAAGAAATCTATAAAACGGTGAGTGGTGTTAGGGCAGATAGCGAACAGTCACGTACAGCTTCTCACAATAAGAGAACTGAATGGAAGTCTGTACAATTTTTGTTTGGCAGATTCAAAACACAAGGAAGTAATTTTTCCCATAATGGAGAACTGAATGTAGAATACACATAGTGTTATGGTAATTAAAATGGGAATGGGTTAAAAAAGGAATCAGAGTAATTTTAGAGACAAGCCTATTGAAGACTATTATGCAGTGGTCTAGAAAGAAATCTCCAGCTTGGAATTATTGGGAGTTACAGGATATGCCCTGGAAAGGATCAATCTGTATGTCTGATGAGCTTTTCATAAGCACCTACAGTCGGCCACTGTGGGGAAAAGGGAACTGAGCTATGAAGACCTTTGGTCTGGCCAAGTACAGACTTTTTAAATTCTACTTTCCCAACAGAGTAAATGACTTTATTGAGGGTTCTAATATCAACCACATAATTTGAGGTTAGCACAGGTAAAGGATATTTTAGATGTTACATCTAACTCGATATTGCTTTGATTAACAGCTATGAAATATCCAAAGGGCATTATTTGGCATCATTCAGGTGTCACTGGTCTTATGCCATGAATGCAACAAGGTTATGTATGAGACCAGAGCTCTTTCTCCTGGTAAACACCATGCCATATGTTTTTATCAGGCACTAATTTGGAGGAGAATTAATCTTAAGAAAGTTATTACGTTAGAGTGTCCTAGTTATGTCTAAGTATAGAGCTGGGGGCTTCTTCAATTATACAAATATTGCTAAACATTTAATTTCAGATTCTCAGTCTGGTGGATAATAAAAAATGACTACCCACCAAACTTGTAGCATTAAATGGAGACTTTATTTTTGGCAGCTCATTGGAGAGGGATTAATATTACTGGAATGGCTTTGTTTCTCAGCAATGCCTCCTTAAGAACAGCTTCCTCTGAACAAATATTTCTATTTTATTGAGAAAAGGAAATACAGTATTAGAAATCAATGTTTTTAAAGGGTAATTTAAAGAAATCTAATCTTGGCAGATGCTGAAATATTTTCAATTTAGAACAAATAGTATTTCTGTCATCCAGTCAGCTTTTTAAAATTAGACCATTACTCCTTGATAAGTTAATTACAAAACAGAAAGAGACTCAACCAATCTAAAAAGGTGTTATTAATGAAAGTATAGAGCACATGTCTAAAAGCTGCTTTTACTGATTTATGGGTGAAATTTTACTTTTCATATGAAAAACCTTGTCTCGAATGTCTTAAATCATAGGGAAAAATGCTCAATTTTTTACCCTATCACAACTAATTTTTTACACTGGTACACTGATGGACTATTGTTTTTCTGTGCTACCATCCATTATAAAAACTGACAGCATCATAATTGAAATTATTTAAAATATGGTGGATTTAGATAATTCTTTACTTCGGTATAGATATGACTACACAAGAAATGCTGCTACTGGAAATTGCTAGGATGAGTTACCAAAACGGAATTATTGCTCAGCAGGCCATACTCCTCTGGGGGTAGGAAATGAAAAATACCATAAATTCCTTTGAAATGCGGAAAGATAGGAGGAATGGAAGGAACATTTTTTGTTGTGTCTGAGGCCTGGTCATCTTTAGGCAAATCTGTGCGCTCCAGGGCAGATGCCCAGTATCACAGACTGCAGAAGTTTCACGCTGCACAGACACTTAGGCTCCATGCAGACATGAGAAGCATGGAGTAGGTTGCAACTATGAGTTGAAATGTCTCCAGGTCCACCAGCTGAATCCTGGTCTCATTAAAATCCCTGGTAAGTCTTTCAGATCAGTGGAGTCACAATTTCACCCCAAGGATTTTGGGTAAAAACAAGTAAAACTCACAAAAAAAATTACTGTGGATGATTAGCTTCATAATATCTGCCCATGGATGTCTCTGCTGCATGGCTGCATTTTGTGCTTCTTGCAGTAAGAACCTGCCAAGGTGCCCAGTGGAAATCCTTCCTGGTTAGTGCTGGGGTCTGAGCCAAAGCCGTGTCCGGTATCAGTCAAGCAATTTAACAATATGAATAGTGGCAAGCTAAACCCCAAACTAAATGCCCTGCCTCTGAGTAGTTTACCAGTATAGAAACTGAGCCACAGAGGCAGCTGGTTTGGCAATCTCTTTGGGAAACTGTCACTTAGCGGTGTGTGATGACTGGTAAACCCACTTCAACTAAAATCCTATTTAGCCTCAAACAACAGGAATAAAATATAATGGAAGACGAAAAGGTTTTAAATCGTACTAAAAGTATCAACATACATCTTTCTTACAACAAATGTTCCTGTCCTAAAGTGCACAGGCAGATTTAGCCTTTCCAGATACTGTACAATTCCATAGAATTTCACAGAACTGGTCAGTCAACCGCAGAAAAAGCCTGGCCAACTGCAGAAAAATGGCAGAGATAACAAATCTGGTTATGGGAGATGTTGTTTCTATGAAACTGTAGAATATCTGAAAAGGCTAAATCTACTTGTTCACTTTTTGGGGTAAGAAAATATATATTACATTATAAATATATTGAACAGTACTGGCCCTAGAATTGAAACTGGAGGAGCACTACTGGTGATTGGTTGCCAGCCAGGTGTAGCCCCATTAACTGCAACCCTTAAACTGTTGGACACCAGGTAAAATCATAAGAAATTTAAAGGAAAAATGTTTGCAGGAGATTTCTATACTTCAAATACAGAAAAAAAAAGCATGGGATAGAGCAACCCCCTCCAGCTTTCAGTATATACTGTCCAGTGGTAAATCTAAGAACCTAGAACTTTTGAAAAACAGGTAATTTTTTAATTATGTGTGAATTCTCCTTTATACAAGGCCATATTACTCCTCACATCAATACTATCTCAGAGATAACAACCGCCTATAAATTGCAATATTGCTCACCTTCCTAAATGTGGAGGAAAATTTAGGCAGACACTAGGCTTTGGCTGTACGCCTCCACCCCCTCCTTTTCATGAACAGCAATACAGGTACCACTGAAAAGTTTGTAACTTTATACTGTTACATGAGAATAACCCAGGGACACAATTATCTCCATTATCAGAAAGTATACAAGTGCAGCGTCCAGCATCATCTCAGATGCTTAGCCACATCTCAGAGGACACTGTAATAGGAGAGCTAAGTTTGACCAGTCTGACCATTTCTTTAAAAGTTGTATAGCAGGTGATATCTTTTAGTATGTATACCTGCAATTATGAAGGTAATTAAGTGGCACATTCCAGGGGAGCCCAAGGAGCACCTTAAATTAAATCCCTGAGCCTCACAATGTTATTGTAATTAGCTGTCTGTCTTAGTAGGGTTTTTTTGTTTATTGCATCTACCCTGTGTGCTAGGGATGAAAAAACATAATTTGACACAAAATATTTTAAATGGTTTATTACTGAGATGAAGGCTTATTTTCATTTTTCCCAGACCACATGTTCTTTCTTTCCTTTGCTTTTAATTAAAATTTTCACAGTAGTGAGAATGTTTAAAACTTGAGAAGATATTTTTTTGTTTATTGCTTGCAAAAGAAAGTAATGATGTTTGCCCCTTCTATTTAGAGGGAAAACCTGTCTGGTGATGTTTGTTTTATCTTCACCTTACAAAGTAACATAGTTTAAATACCCTTAAGGACAGGCATGTTAGCTCTGCAGTTTTGATCTGGGATCGTTCCAGGTTAGACCATTTTCCAAACACCACTAATTACCACTGTGGAACAGTTTGTATTTTGATATAAATGAACTCCCTTTCTTTAAGTGTGAACTTCTAATTTCTCCAGTGGAAAAAAGAAAGTCAGAAGTTCTAAATGAAAAATAAATATAAGCTGCATTGAAAATTTGACTAATTATTTATTAGTTCACATTAACATGCATTAGGGAAGTTACTGGGAGCATGGCAGCAGCATTCTGAGCCCAGGTTCCAGTTCTGTCCCTTGCCTTGTGGCTTTTCAGCAGCAGTTTCTTGCTTCATGGTGGAGCAATGTGCAAGGTCAAGTGGGACTGCATTTGACTCTGTATTTATCATAGTTATTAATGTAGCAGCTCAAAAGGTCAAGTGACTTGCATGAAATTCTCAGTTTTTATTTGAGGAAAAATGTCTCTGGCTTTGTGCTTCTGGAGAAAAGATGAAAATGTAAATGTACAAAGGCTTAAGAAGTGAAAGGATACTTAAAAGTCATTAAAAGACACAATAAACATGAAGAATCTTTGATCTGATGTTATGATCTGGGGGATGAATTCATGATTTTTGAATCAGGGATGGGAAAGATGAGGATGGACAATAGAAAAAGAGGTGGAGCAATCTTCCAAAATACAGATTATTTAAACAGCTGTTGTCACATGTTTAAAACTTGTGAAGATATTTTATTGTCTGTTGCTTGCAAAATAAAATTATGAAGAATCCAAGCAGTGTTGTAGACTATGACCTTTCTGGCTGTTATCTGACTTTAGTCTGTTGTAATTTTACTAACCAATAACTTGACACCTTGTGGTGGTTTGAAAAACCTTTTTTGAGGTAGTAATGGTTTGCCCCACTGATAATACTCTTACTGGACCAATCAAAAGTCCACGTGCGCCCTACGGAAATTACATGCCCACAGAAACGGAAGAGAAGGTAGTGAAGATAGTTTAGTAGGTAGGTAGCCATGATCTGAGCCACGAGGAGGCAGGGGGCCAGTGAGCTCCTCTGGGGGCCAAGAGCCCCCAGACCCCAGCCGAGGCTATGGGAGACCCGGTATAGTGTCAAAGCTGGACCGGGTCCCGTAACCAAGAGCTGGAAAAGTTTCCTTACGGTCAGCAGCAGCAGAAGACACTGAAAGCAGCAGTGGAGCAGTCCTGAACAGAGACAGCGATGGCTAAAAGCCAAAAGATAGCCAGTAGCAGCGAGAAAACGTGAAGCCAGCTGAAAGACACAGAGATGTTCCTGCAGGAGGGAGAGCTGGCAACAAAACAGAGGTAAACTCAACAGAGCTGGTTTGGGGTAAGACTGTATTATTTTCCCAAAACCAGAGACTCTGAAGAGGAGGGGTGGACTTCCAAACCCTTAGGGAGTCCCGAAATGCAGCAGCAGCTAGAGAGAGGGAGAAAGGAGCTGAAAACCTGGAGTTTGTCCTGAGAGCTGAGCCAGAACGGAATGGGGAGGAGGTGGCCGTGCCCTCTGCTGCTGCTGTTGCTGTTTCTATCAAGCTATTGAGCTGGGACAGAGCAAAAGAGCGTTGGTAAGACTGAACTGAAAGCTGCCTTCAAAGTTCTAACCCAAGAGGAGTGAAGATCTACAAGGAAATCCCCCGAAGGCTCAGGCTTGGGGTTGAAATTTCCACAAAGTAAGAACAAAAATCCTGACTGCCACACTTAAATCTGCTGCCTCAGGAAAATGAAGGACACTAACCAGTGCCACAAAAAACTGAAATGAAGGAACTGTGGCCTGAGAAGTGACAGAAAGACTTTTCTCTTTTCTTCTTGGACTTTTATTGAAGAAGAGGAGAAATTTAATTTAATGTAAATATATATGTGGGTGTAAATAAACCTTTGTAAATATTTTCCCCTTCCCCCAATAACGAATGGTTGTGTTTTGTCTGAAAACTCTCCACATGAGGTGAAAAAGATATCAAGTCCATACCATCATTAAACCTTCTCACAGGGGCAAACTGGGGTGGGGGTGGGGGGGAGCTTGAACTTAAAAATTAGATTCTCTGGAGTTTCAACCCACCACACACCTGTTGTTCAAAGTAGATCCACAAAACCCATATCTGCCCATGTAGCACAGAATTTCTCTTCCACAAGGGCCTCAAGATCTGCTTCAGGGCTCTTCCATCTCTGACTATCCATCACACAGGCTTGGTGATGGAAGCATGGGATAGAAATCATGGTATCTTGGACAGTGAAGTGGGGAAGGAATGGCTATACTGCTTCCATCATTTGCCATTACCCAGTGGATCTGTCAGCTGTTGCTGGAGGAAGGTTTCAGTCCTCACGTTTAACTAGAATTAAGGTGACACAGTGAGTAATCACAACTGCAGTTGCACACTCCACTTCTGGCTTGGAGTTGTTGTACTGGCCTTCGAAAGATGGGATGTAGAGTCTCTATTTTCTACTATGAGTTCTAAAAAATACTGCATGATGATGGCCTGTAAGTGGTTAATTTATTTTCTCAAGTTTCACTATTGGACTGATTTATAAAACTAATTTACAGTGTGTAATGCAGCTTTCATTCTTTTAATAGTTCTCTGTAAGAAGAAGGCGGAGTGGGTTATTGGTTTTTTTTTAATTCCTTTTGTCATGGATTAACCCTAGCCAGCAACTCAGCCCCACACAGCCACTTACTGACTCCCCCACAATGGAACGGGGGAGAGAATGGGAAGGGTAAAAGTGAGAAAACTCGTGGGTTGAGATAAAGACAGTTTAACAGGTGAAGCAAAAGGCACACACGTATGCAAAGCAAAACACGGAATTAATTTCCCACCTCCCACAAGTAGGCAAGTGTTCAGCCATCTCCAGGCGAGCAGGGCTCCGTCACACTTAACAGTGACTTGGGAAGACAAGCACCATCACTCCAAGAATACCCCCTTCTCCTTCTTCCCCCAGCTTTACATGCTGAGTATGTTGTCCTATAGTATGGAATATCCCTGTGGTCAGTTGGGGCCAGCTGTCCCAGCTGTGTCTCCTCCAAACTTCTTGTACACCTCAAGCCTCCTCATTGGTGGGGTGGGATGAGAAACAGAAAAGGCCTCAATGCTGTGTAAGCACTGCTCAGCAGAAACTAAAACATCCCTGTGTTATCAAAAGTGTTTCCAGCATAAATCCAAAACATAGGCCTGTGCCAGCTACTGCGAAGATAATTAACTCTGTCCTAGCCAGAACCAGCAAATCTATGCTTTTTTTTTTTTTTTTGTTAGATTCCTCATTAATTTGCAGTTCAAATTTGCAGTGTGTCCTTTTCTTGGAAAAACATTGCTCCTAACAAAGTAAATTCGTATATCATTCAGGGATCAGGATCCCCACAGAACTTCCTGGAACTAGAACAAGTATTTTCTTATTAGCATTTGACATTGATGGCAGAGTATGAAGAGAGAATTTCTCTATTGAACTTGATGACTCCAAAATCCATTTTGATTAGCTAGCCAGTAGTCAAATTTTAATGGGCCAAATTCTGAAGCACAGCTGCTTTGGAAGTGAAGTCTACCATTTCTTCATAAATGCTTTTCCTTTTATATCCCCTGATGTAAGGCAAAACCTCAATATCTGAGAAGTTTACAACAATTGTTTTCTAAAAATGATAAACTTAGAAAATTTTCTTTTAGTGACCATACATCCTTAGTTTTCACTTTGAACCCATTCTTTGTTGTTCAGCTTCATTTGTTTGATTCATCTATCATTTGCAAACTGATAACACCCTGGCATCCAGTCACAGCCAAGTCTTCATAATGTGAGATGATATATAAACACACTAGTAAAATGATGTTACATCCAAGACACAATTGTTGTTCAACACAATCCTAAAGATGACCAGAAAGCTGAGGAAGGAGGAGGATTGTTGGTCGATACACTACAGTACCATAAAACACAACAGGCTGGATTTAGCTTGGCAGTAGGTCATCTTTTGGCACATATTTGTAGTCTTAGGGTTGCAGCTGTACAATAAGAGATCCTTATTTGCTTCTTACATTTACTAATATTATTTTATTCTTGTATCACAGCTGGAGAGTATTAGAAAGTATTTGAGAGCTTACTGAACAAAGCTCCTTGTGTGGGCTTGCTCCAGAAGCAGTAAGTGAAGAACTGAAAGGTAGAAAAGAACTGCCTGAAAAAGTGGTGTGATAAAAGAAGACAATTAAAGGCAATACTGGAGCTTTTAAACCTCTCCCACCCAGCAAATGCTGTTTCCTATACCTTCAGTTTCATCTGCTTCTCACAGTCTGTCTATACTACCTAATATGCCTGCCTTCCAAATTTCCCCCAGCTTTGGTCTTGCAGCTGCAAGACCCCATAGGGTGTGATTATCTTACTTCCTGTCTGTCGATTATGTTTAAACATATGCTAAACTGTAAAGGTCATTTTTCTAGCATGACTCTGAAGTACAGTTAATGATAGTCTTGTTACTGACTGACCTCCTGGACCTGACAGAGATTAAACATCTTGGACAAATTTTCATTGCTTGAATCTGTGTCATATCCTTCTAATGTGTGAAGGACTGATCACTTTTAAACTAGTGCACCACACTAGTGGTGTGGTGCAAATAAGGTTCAGTCATTTGATGCCAAGATACCTGATTTTTGCAGTAAAGAAACAGGAATTCATAAACACCATGGGAACAGCAAAAGAAAATGTATCTGTGCAGTTCTTTGTCAATAGCCTAATCTGATTCCTCAGTGTGTCCTGCCTGGACAAGGCTGAGTGATGCTGCAGCAGCCAGCAATGCCACAGCCATGTTACCTCACATGATGAAAACACAGTTTCTGTGTCCATGCTTTATCATCAAAAACATAACCTTGCTTTCAAAACAAGAGCTATACTTTTTAAGTATTCATATTGTGGAAATTAAGGTAAAATAGACCACGTTGAAGTGTTGGTTTTAGCAACTTGTACTTACTCTACTTCCAGTGTATTTAGACTTACACATACCTGAAAAATCCTATTAAATCTACAATGGGGCTATTTTCAGGGGGTTTTTTAATGTTCCACTGGCTATTAACATTTCACAGCATGTTGCAATGCTGGCCTTTTTGATTCTATTGAGCCTTGCTGAATGGGAGGTTTTGTATCATTTAAGAGCAATTCTTTGCTCTGCCTGTATTCTATATCTTGTCCTCAGAAAAAGGGATGATGATAGGTGATGTCTCAAAAGATAAGTAATCTTCCACTACATACTCTCTGTCTACAGTAAGTTCTCTAGATGTTGTAATGAGGTTCACCAGGAAAATTCATCATAGCATATTACCTACTTTATTTATCCATTCCACTTTATACACCTACTAAAAATAGCTGTTCTTAGATGAGTGAGTCTTTTCCTCTCACATGTGTCAGTCCACAGGATCTAATTTTGTAACTAATTTTACAAAACTGAAGACTCATAACATGAATGGGCTGCATTCACCTACTACCAAAATGTGAAAGTGTATCCTCCAGGAATATTTTGATGATTTAAAAAATCCCTACAATAGATGTCAATTAAAAGGAAAAAGAAGAAGGATTGCATGCACCATTTCATGCTTACTTCCTCTTTTTCACTGTGTTTCCATTTTACTGCATTTATCCTCAGATAAGCTTCCTGTCACTGAATTAATATTGCCATTTTGTATGTCTTTTCTCTTCTTTGCTTTTGCTCATTTGCTGTGGTTTAACCTGTCAGGCAGCTAAATACCATAGAGCTGCTCGCTCGCTCTTCCCCACCCCAGTGGGATGGT